CAGTGCTACGTGGTCGTCTTTGTACGCGATGTACAAAGGAGGGGTTTGGGGAAAAGGAAAGTATGTTATCTCGGTAAAGGGATGACTACTCCTCCCAACTTGCAAAAAAAAATTCAGATTAATTTTATTCATATATATGATATATGTCATATATATATGTGAGGATTTTGCCTGCATGTATGTATGTGTACTATGTACATGCCTCGTGCCTTAGGAAGTCAGAAGGGGCCTTCATAACCCCTGGACCTGGAGTTACGGAGAGTTGTGAGCTGCCACATGGGTCCTAGGAATAGAATCCTGGTCCTCTTCAAGAGCAACAATCGCTCTTAACCACTGAGCCAATTTTCTAGCCTTCTTTCCATCTTCTTAGCATGTATGTAGGTGAATCAGCCTTTCTTGGGGGTACTCTCTAAGCCAGGTAATTAACAGGCCTAGCTGAATTAATTTTGTTTTTAAAACATTTGTTTTTATGATGTGTGTGCCACGTGTGCCCTGATGTCCAATGAGACAAGAAGGGGATGTCGCTGATTTTTTTTTTGAGGGGGCGATGGATTTTCAAGATAAGGTTTCTCTGTGTAGCCTTGTCTGTCTTGGAACTCACTATGTAGACCAGGCTGGCCTCAAACTCAGAGGTCTGCCTGCCTCGGCTTCCCAAGTGCTGGAATCAAAGGAGTGTTCCACCACCGCCAGTTGATATCATGTAGCTAGAGTTACAGACAGTTATGAGCCACCTAATTTTTGATGTGGGAACTGAACTCTGGTACCCTGAAAAAGCAGCAAGTGCTTTTAACCACTGAGCCATCTTTCTAATCTCCCGAATTAACTCTCTCTCTCTCTTTTCCTTTTTATTTTTGTGAATTAACTCTTAAGGGAGAAGACAACCATATGCAATGTTGTAACTCTTGCAACAAATCAGGATGTTATGTCTCCATCCAGGACATAAGACACACATAAAACTGTGTGTCCTGAAACTTGCTCTGTAGACTAGGCTGGCCTCAAGTTCACAGATCCAGCCAGATGTGAGTCACCACATCTGGTGATTCCATTGTTTTGACTAGGAGGAAACAGCTTTCCCTTAAAGGGTTAATGTTCCCTTAAAGGCACATTTTCCCTGTCTGTCCAGTTGCCATCCTCTGTCTCCTCTAAAACTACCATAACATTTCCTTTCAAGACCTGAGATCCTCAAGGAGATGAGCTGAAGCTGAGAAAGAAATATAATTCATTTCTACCATGAAAAATCTAGAGTTCCAACTGCAAAGCTGCTCACTAGAAGAAATTAGTCTCTGGACAGGAGTTTTTGGCCACTTCCTCATAAACAACTCTTTCAGGAGATAAGAAAGGAGAGCTTCCTTCTGTCCTTCCGGCCTGGAGAACCAAGGCTTTTTCCTGCTTTTGACCAAGGACAAAAATGGACCTATTCACTCTCAGGGTCCCTGACCTTTAAGTACCTCGTCAGTTCTATTGTCTGTCTCCATCACTAGTGATAATGGAAATAAAGCCTGCTACTTACTGAAGATTTACGAATGTCAGGCTCTATTCTAAGTTATTTGCATGAATTAACTCATTGTATCCTCAAAATAATCGTAGGGAAAAACAAACAAGCAGTTTGTTTGCTCAGGATCAGACAAAAAGAGGCAGATTTAGGGCTGGAGGTACGTCTCAGAAGGTAGACTCTTAAGCCTGAATTGATTGCTACTGTTACCATTAATTTTTTTTTTTCAAAAAATTTCTTTGCACAATGCTTGACCAGACTCAAAGCCTCATGCATGCTGCCTACATCCACACCCCTAAGCTGCTGTGTTCAGCAAAGATTTGTGACTGATGGCAGAGACAGGCAGGGTGAAGGATGTTAAAAGCTGACTAGAATGAGTAATTTGCACAAGACTAGTATCTACATTTATTGTCCAGTGTGTGTTGGAGAGGGGTGCTGGATTAAAGATTTAGTACAGGTTGGGGCTGTAGAGATGGTTCAGAAAACTTGTTGTACTTGCAGAGGATCAGGGTTCGGTCCCCAGCACCCCCACAGTGGCTCACAATTCTCTGTAACTCTAGACCCAGGGGTATCTAATGTCCTTTTCTGACCTCCATGGGCACCAGGCACACACTCAGCATACTTACATATATGCAGGCAAAACACTCACGCACATACAATAAAATAAATACATCTGGTGCACGTCTTTAATCCCAGCTCTTGGGAGGCAGAGGCAGAAGGATGGCTTGGAGTTTGTGGTCAGCCTGTGCCACAGAGCCAATTCCAGGACAGCCAAGGCTACCCAGAGAAACTCTGACTTAAAAACAAAACAAAACAAACAAACAATAACCAAAAGATTTTATACATGTTGAGGTAGATAATCCAGGAAAGCATCAGTGGGACAGAAACAATAATATTACCTCTTTAAGCATTTGTTTATTTATTGTGTGTACATATCCGGGGAGGACATATGTGAGTCACAGCACCAGTGTGGAGGTCAGAGGACAACTTGAAGAAATTGGTTCTCTCCTTCTACCATTTGGGCCTGGGGCTGGAATTCAGGTTTAGCAGCAAGCAGCCTTAACTGCTGAGCCATCTCGCCTGCTTTGTTCTGACAGCTTTTAATCCTTGCAAGGAGCTCAATTAGACTGCTACGACTGTATCCATTTTGCTGATAAATGGAAGTTTTGAGAATCTCCCAAAGTCAGACAGAGGTGAACTCAAAAGCCACTGGTGAATACAAAAGCCAGCATGTGGACTCAGATCTGGCACTACATTGGCTGCCTTCTTCCCCACTTGAAGTTCTGCAGTTCCAGGAAGCCAATAATGGAGATTAATGTATAAACCTGGCTTCCTGGTGAGTACCTGGCAAGCACCTAACAAGTGGTGGGCGTAGGCGGGAATATCAAGAACTCAAGGACATCCTTGAGGCCAGCCACTGGGAGAAAATACATGGATGGATGGATGGATGGATGGATGGATGGATGGATGGATGGACAGACAGGAGGGCAGACAGATGGACAGAGAACGAGAGAGAGATGATATATTGGAGAAGAGAAGGAAAGACATACAGATACTTAGCCACCCATCAGCTGTTTTTTTTTGTTGTTGTTGTTTTGTTTTTTAATTTTAATTTGTTGGAGAGGGTGTTCTCCCATGTAACAGTACATACGAGGGGATCAGAAGACAATTTCTCTTTTTCTAGCATGTGTTTTCTGGGAATCAAACACAAATCATCAGTCTTCGCTGCAATCTCCTGTACTCTCTGATTCATGTTGCCAGGAGCTCTACATTAGCTATTTGAAATTAAATCTGTGTGTGCATGTGTGTTTTAATATGTAATTTTGTATATATATGTGTGTGTGTGTATGTATGTAATTATATGCATATATATGATATATATGTCATGTGCGTACATGTGTGAATACACGTGTCCTAATTTGATTTCTGTTGCTGTGATACACACCACAAACCAAGCCAACATGGGAATAAAAGAATATTTCATCTTAAAATTGCAGGTCACAGTCCAGCGTTGAGGGAAGTCAGGGTGGAAGTGAAGCAGAGGCCACGGAGAAATGCTGCTTGCAGGCTTGCTTTTTCTGACTTACTCGGCCTCCTTTCTTATACTCCTAGGACCACCTGCCCAGGGGTGGCACTGCCCACACTGCTCTGTCCCACAGACATGCCAATAGGCCAATCTTCTGGAGGCAATTCCTCAGTTGAGATTCTCTCTTTCCAGGTGACATTAGAAAGATTTGACAGAATATGTTATATACCCAACTCTCACAAGAAGAGACAGGGAAGAGAAGCTACTTAATTGCAGCACAGAGAGAGAGAAAGAAAGAGAGAGAGAGAGAGAGTAGGAGAGTTCATGGAGACAGAACAGTGTTGTTCAGGAGTAAGATACAGTTCAGTGCAGTTCAGCTGAGTGAAGTTCAGTTTGTACAGTTCAGTTCATGGAGCTCAGAGGCAGATTTTCCAATCAGAGTAATTCAATGAGAAGCAGAGAGAAGCCAGTTTGAATCAGTCAGCTTGGAGAGGAGTTTGAGCCAGAACAGCTGAATTGAACCAGCCAGCCCAGAGCTCAGAAAGAACTAGAAAGGATGAGGTTATGTAGCAGTAAGTCTCAGAGGCTGAAAACATTTTAGGCAGAGACTGAAAACTAAAGCCTTCAAGGTCTGGGCTTGCACAAGATTAGATTGTATAAGCGCTAGAAGATTCCAGGCCTAATCCTAGGAATAGTTAGCTAGAAACGTGAGGGCTCTGCACAAACCATATATTCATAAAGCTTGGGTATGGCTCTCATTTGATTCCCCAATCTGAGATAATAAAATCAACAATTTAAAAAGTCCCCATAGTGTCAACAATCTCAATATTATTCAAAAGTAGAGCTTTCTAGAGCTGGGTAGGTAGCTCACTTGGTAAAAATGCTTGCTGTATAAACCTGAGGACCTGAGTTTGGTCCCAAGCTGGGCCTGAGAGCTTAATGCTTATAATCCTAGTGCTGGGAGGCAGAAACATGGGGATCTCTGGGGCTTGCTGGCCAACAGCCTACCTAACCGGTGACCTTCAGATTTAGTGAGAGATACCGTCTCAATAAACAAAGGAGGGGCTGGAGAGATGGCTCAGCAGTTAAGAGCACCAGATGCTCTCCCAGAGGACCTGGGTTCAATTCCCAAGACACCACATGTGGCTCACAGGACCACAACCATCTATAACGACAGTTCCAGGGGATCTGACACCCTCTTCTGGCCTCTGTGGCACTGTACAAATGTAATATGCAAACATACATGCAGACACACACACACACACACACACACACACACACACACACACACCAGACAAATTTTTGAAATACATTATTTTCTGGGACTCCCTGGAATTTCTTTTTTTTTTTTTTAATTAATTTATTTTTTTATTGGTTACAGTTTATTCACTTTGTATCCCAGCTATAGCCCCTTCTTCATTCCCTCCCAATTCTACCCTCCCTCCCTCATCTCCTCCCATGCCCCTCTCCAAGTCCACTGATAGGGGAGGCCCTCCTCTCCTCTCTGACTCTAGCCTATCAGGTCTCACCAGGACTGGCTGCATTGTCTTCCTCTGTGGCCTGGTAAGGCTGCTCCCCCCTCAGGGGGAGGTGATCAAAGAGCCAGCCACTGAGTTCATGTCAGAGACAGTCCCTGTTCCCATTACTAGAGAGGCCATTTGGAGACTGAGCTACCATGGGCTACATCTGTGCATGGTCCTTGGTCAGAGTATCAGTCTCAGAAAAAGAGCCCTTTGCCCAGATTTTTTGGTTCTGTTGTTCTCCTTGTGGAGCTCCTGTCCCCTCCAGGTCTTTCATCTCCCCCTTCTTTCATAAGATTCCCTGCATTCTGCCCAAAGTTTGGCTATGAGTCTCAACATCTGCTTTGATACCCTCTTTCAGAGGCCCTCTGTGGTAGGCTCCTGTCCTGTTCCCTGTTTTCTCCCTCTTCCTAAGTCTGTCCCATTTGCCTTTCTGAGTGAGGATTGATCATCTTACCCAGGGTCCTCCTTCTTGCTTAGCTTCTTTAGGTATGCAGATTTTAGTATGTTTGTCCTATATTATATGTCTAATGTTCACTTATGAGTGAGTATATACCATATGTGTCTTTCTACTTCTGGGATACCTTACTCAGGATGATATTTTCGAGTTCTGATCATTTGCCTTCAAATTTCATGATTTCCTTGTTTTTCATTGCTGAGTAGTATTCCATTGTGTAAATGCACCACAATTTCTGTATCCATTCCTCCGTTGAGGGACATCTGGGTTGTTTCCAGATTCTGGCTATTATTAATAAAGCTGGAATTTCTTATCTATAAAGGAAGAAGGAAAAACAAGGTACATACTTTCAACACACAATGGAATAGAATAAATATTCCCATTCCAAAAAAGGAATCTAACCCTCTTACATACTATCTGTCTTCAGTCATTTTCTGTATCTTTAGTGTAAGACCCTCTCACTCTGGTATACCTCCAAAGCCAGTACCATGTGGGTGAAACCCAATTTGGCTGCCATCTGGGATGAAGCCTGGTTCCACCGGACCACAGTTATAGTGGGCGTGAGGGGTGAGAAGGATTTCACTAGGAGCCCCCACTCTATGCCATGGGGAGGTCTTTGTCCAAGTATCTCTGTAGTCCATTTTTAGCCCAGGCTGACCTGGAAATCCCTATGCAGTTGAGGATGATCTTTGCCTTCCTTTACCTTTTGAATAACAGTAGTTGTCACCATCATATCCCTAAGCTCTGTTTTGAAATGATTTTTATTGCATTTGTTTTTACTTTTTGTTTTCCGAGAAAGGATTTATCTATGGAGCCTTAGCTGTCCTGGACTTGCTTTGTAGACCAGGCTAGCCTCCAACTCACAGACATCCTCCTGCTTCTGCCTCCCCGAGTGCTGGGATTACAGGCGTGTGTGCCAGGCTTTAAATGTGTTTTAATCAATCACTGCAGTTATCTTCTGCCGTCCAGACATGCAGGCTGTGGTATGTGCATGCACTCTCATGCTCAAACTTACACACACACACACACACACACACACACACACACACACACACACATAAAGATTGGAGTTAGATGTAGTATTATATGTTCGTATCCCTAGGACCTGGGATCTGGGATGCTGGGCTCAAAACCAGCCTCAGATGGTGAGTTCCAGTCTAGCCCTAGGCTACAGAAGACATCGACTCAAAACCAAACAATAAACAAGCAAACTAGCAAGCAACAGAGAAGGGGATGGGCATGAAACCCGGAGAGATGCGTCAAGGGTTAAGAGCATCTTCTGTTCTTGCAAAGGATCCAGGTTCACATTCCAGCAACCACAACTCTGGTATCAGGGCACCTGACTCCCACTTCTGGCCTTCAGTGGGCACTGTCATACATATGGTATGTATGGCCTACACATATGTGGCCTACACATACACACAGGTAGGCCAACACTCATACAGAAAGTCTGCAGAAGTGGCTGCGTTGGTGAAATGCTTGCCCAAAGCCCCAGACGCCTCGTGCTCCCAGCAACACCCAGAACTAAGCGTGCTAACCCACACCTGTGATATCAGCATTTGGGAAATGGAAGCAAGAAGGGAAGGCTACTAACTACATATCAAGTTTGAGGCCAGCCTGGGCTACACGGGACCCTGCCTCAGGGAATGACAGAGCTATCAAAATGTCCTTCCAAAGATGACTTTGCATTTATACGCGGAGAAATTTTGACTTTATGATAGGAAATTTTGGTGGCCCCCACCTTAGGCCAATGAGCATCTGAACATTAGCCACACCAAGACGATCAGACAAGGTGTTGCTCCTGTCGTAACACTTGAGGAATGGTGTAGGGTTGTTTAAACACATCAACCAAACCTAATGATGAAATGTCAGCCAAGCCCAAATTGAATGGCGTTCTACAAAATACCAGACCATGCTTTCAGCTCTGAGGAACTTTGCCAGATACAAAGCAACTGCTGGGCAATCACAGCCATGCACAGTACCCAATTCTGAGTTAAATTCTGGACAAGGAAAAAGAAAGAGCGGCAGAGGACACTGTTGGACAGCTGATGAAACCTGAATAGACTTTGGATTAGATATTAAAGAATTAATATAATAAAGTTTTATGTAAGTCAGTGTAAGGACTGTGTAAGAGAATGTCCTGTTTGGGGCAATAAGCACAAAAAGTACCTGGTGACAAAAGGGATAGTTGCTTTCTGAGCTTCCTAAGAACTCAATTTAAATGGTAGAGAAAAAAAAAAAAAAGTATGTATGTGCACACACAAAGGAACAAATGAGTGAATTTACCACAGAGAAAATTGTGCAAGACTGCAAGACGTGAGCAATTTGTGAGTCGGATGGATATATGAAAACTCCCCGAGCTATTCAGCAAGAGAGTGTAAATCTTAACAGGTCAAAATAAATCCTCAAGAGTTTGATCGCCAGTGTCTGTTTGAGGCAGGCCTCAAACTCATGGCAACTCTCTTTTCTCAAGTCTTTCAAAGGCTGAGATTTCAGGCTTGCAAAACCCTGCCCAGTTTGGTTATCTTCATATTCTGGAGTTAATACTGTCATGGTTTTCAGTTGCATTATTTTTCATTTACTTCCAAGCCCTTTGACAACTGCTTAAATCTCCCTTCTGAAGCTCTGTGCTTACTGTGGTAAAGCATGTCTGCAATCCCCTCCCGGGGAAGGTGAGAGCAGGAAAGCCTGGAGTCACCCTATCATAAATTCCGGGAGACCTCGTCCAAGAAAAACAGTCAACAAGTCAAGGAGAGATCAAGGGCTGGAGATGTAGGTTTGCAGGCGGAGGTATTTGCCTAGCACATGCCGCTGAGGGAGAGAAAGGGGAGGAGGAGGGGAGGGAGGAGGCAAGATTTCAATCTTGGAGTCATGAAGAAAGCAAGGTGCAGTAAGAAACTGCCTGTCTCCTAAACAGAAGGTCTGCCAGGGAGCATCCAGCGCTAGTGAACGCCTGTTGACACTTTGCGGAGGTGGCTGGCTCTGTGCAAAAAGAATTGCCACAATTTTCCAAGCGCAGCAGAGAACATAATGACTTTATTGTGCCTCTTGTTTACCTCCTAATGGGAACTTCATACTCACTGGGCCCTCTCCAAACCCTGGTGTCTAGACAGAGAAGAAAATTTCATCTAGAGATAGAGAACAGAGAAGGAACAATTTAATAGCTACCTCAGACCCGATGTCTGGGGGCCACAGTCGCTGGAAAGGAAGGATATATTTCCTTAGTCACTGAGCTGTGTGTTACTCGCTCTCTCCTTTTCCCCCCAGACCACCCCAACCACTTCAAGTGGGTTCATGGCGATCAAACCCCAGTCACCAGCTGGATAGCCTTTCACCTCCCCCACCCCTGTTGAAATAGTACTAGGATTACAGGCATGCACCACAACACCCAGTCTTACCATATGCTGGGCCTCCTGTGTGCTAGGCAAGTGCCCCACCCACAGGGCTACAACCCCAACCCTTCTTTCTCACGAACTACAGTAGGGATTCCGTGGGCTCGTTTCCAGCTCAGCTCTGTCAGGGCCCTTTGGATTGATTTCCCTGGATCTGCAGTGTTCTGAGTTGGGGTCCTGGATTGTCTTAACCTGACAACAGTACAGGTTGGCCCGGTGCTGCCACTCCCAGAAGCAACTGATATTCCACAAGCGTCTCTATGTTCACAGCTGTGGGTTTATTTTTTACCTCGGGACTTTTTGAGGGCAGAGCTGCATCTCCACTGCATCTTGCTGTGCAGAAAACGCCCCTTAGACTCTCTTGATTCTCCCAGGATCCGTGGGAACCATTGGCCTTTAACTCAAAAGCATTTCACAGGCTTCATGTTTCTCTTCAATTATTGGCACCTGGGAGTTTTCTGGTGGAACTTGTAAAGAGCCAAGAAAACTACCTTTAGTCAGTAGATAAATAGGCTTAAATTTTCAGAAAGAAAAATAAATTCAGTTTCATTGCCGTGTTATATTATTTAGGATTTTTTTTTTTAATTTGAGGGTGGGCAAGGGGGACACACATATCATGGCACACAAGCGGAGATCGAATATCAAACTTACAGGAGTTGCTTTTCTCCCACTAATATGGGTCCTAGGGATCAAACTCAGGTTGTCAGGCAAGCACCTTTGCCTTTGGTTCTCCACCTTCCTGATGCTATGGCCCTCATGTTGTGGTAACCCCCAACCATAAAATTATTTGTGTTGCTGCTTCATAACCATAATTTTGCTACCGTTATGAATCCTACTATAAATATCTGATGTTCCTGATGGTCTCAGGAGACCCTGTCAAAGGGTTGTTTGACTTCCATAGGGGTCTCGAACCACAGGTTGAGAATCTTGGTGTTAAACCATCCCACAAGCCCTCTATTTAAGATTTAACGTCAAAGCTGGGTGGTGGTGGCACACACCTTTAGTCCCAGCGCTTGGGAGGCAGAGGCAGGCAGGCCTCTGTAAGTTCAAGGCCAGCTTGGTCTACAGAGTGAGTTCCAGGACAGCCAGGGCTACACAGAGAAATCCTGTTTTGAGAAAGCAATAACGACAAAGATTTAACTTCAGTGCCAGCCAAGAACAGCCAGCTCCAGATGCAGTGAGAGCCTCTGTCTCAAAAAAAAGATGTGGAGAGAGACTGGAGAGATGGCTGGCTCAGCTATGGAGTTCCCCATGCCATAGCGTCTACTGCCGAGAGGTTTGCAGCCAGCAGAGGAGCTGACCGCTGTGGAAACAGGACCCAAGTAAGGCTGACCCAGATGGAGAACAATATAGGGGCAGTAAAGGGCAGTAAAGGAAAGCTGGTGACAGTGTCAGAGTTGAGTAGCTATGGGTGTAAGGTTCTTTGTATGCAAATCAATGGGGCCCAGGATTTCAAGGTAAAGTGGACTGCGTACTTGCAGACTTACTTGGCAAGAATACCTTCTCATACCTGATATGTGGTGCTGACCACATCTCAGCACCGTGCTAGGGTGCTGATTGTTAATACCAACATACCTCTTCCTATTGGAATTATGTATGTATATGGGTTAATATATCAATACGCATGTGAAACCGCAGGGCTATTCCTCCTGTGCCCCAGTTCCCAAAATGACTCTGAGACCTTATTATTATGAATAGTGGCTCATTCCCCGACTAGCTTATGACTTTATTTACCCATTTCTTCTGTTCTATGTATGCCACATAGCTGGCTACGTCTCCCCAGCTTCATCCGTCCACCTTCCTCAGAGTCCAGGGTAAATCTCCCACCTCTGACTCTATCCCAGAGTTCCTCTTATTCTCCAGGAAGCCCCACTTCCCAGTTCCTGCCTCAATTAACAGGCCCCCGGCTTTTTCTTGACCGGTGAAGCTTCCATACAGCACATAAGAGATTCTCTCTACATGCATGCTACTCTGCCCTTAGCCAACCACAGTGGCACACATCTCTAACCCCAGCACTCAAGGGGAGGCAAAGGCAGGTGGATCTCTGTGAGTTTGAGGCCAGCCTGGTCTACAAAGTGAGTTCCAGGACAGCCAGAACTGCTACACAGAGAAGCTCTGTCTCAAAACAACAACAATATCAAAAGTTCACCTGTTGAATGTGGAACAAATGAAAAAACAAAACCTTTAACTGTGCAAGAGTATTATTATGACTGTAGATAAAACCACCATTACAAACATCAGAATGTATTTGTGTGTGTGTGTGTGTGTGTGTGTGTGTGTGTGTGTGTGTGTGTTGAAAGAGGGCTCTTGACTTGTAGATCTTAAAGGAGGAAACTCGGTATTTTACCTAGTAGTGGGAGGTTGGTTACCTCAAAGCTTTTTACAGTGGTTCCTCTTTCGGTAGCTTCTTAGACAATGGAAATTTAGACCACAGACCCATTTGTTTATTTATTATGTTTTGAGACAGGGTTCACTATGAAACCCTGGCTGACCCAGAATTCATGACGTAGACTAGGCTGGCCTTAAATGCACAGAGAGCCACCTGCCTCTACCTCCTGAGTGCTGGGATCAAAGGTGTGTGCCACCACTGCCCAGCTAGGAATTTTTTAATTTTTTTTCTGAGACAGGATTTCTCTGTGTAGCCTTGGCTGTCCTGGACTCGCTTTGTAGACCAGGCTGGCCTCATATTCACAGCACTAGGACTACTTTTAAAGCTAGAAATGTAACTCATTAGGTAAAGTACTTGCCTGGCACGAATGAAGCCCTTACTTTGATCCCTAGCACTGCATAAACCAGCCATCATGGTACAAGCCTATCATCTCAGCACTCAGGAAGTGGAGGCAGGAGGATCAGAAGTTCAAGGTCATCCTCGGCCACATAGCAAGTCTAAAATTAGCCTGGGACCTACGAGACCTGGGCTGGACTCACTTTGTAGACCAGGCTGGCTTGAAACTCACAGGGATCCACCTGCCTCTGCCTCCCCAAGTGCTGGGATCACAGGTGTGCGCCACCGCCGCACAGGGCGTTAAGTGAGTTTTAATCAATTACTGCAGTTATCTTCTCCAGACATGCAGGCTGTGGTGTGAACTGAGCAGCATGTCTTTAATCCCAGCACTCGGAGGCTGACACAGGTGGTCCCAAGTTCCAGGGCAGTCAGGGCTACACTGAGAAACCTTGTTTTGAAAAAAACAAAAACGAAACAGCTGGAGAGATGGCTCAGAGGTTAAGAACACTTCCTGTTCTCACATAGGACCCAAGCTAGATTCCAAATACCACATGGGAGCTCACAACTATTCATAAGTCCAGGGGATCTGATGCCTTCTTTTGACCTCCAAGGGCAGGTAGCATATACATAGTACACGTGCATACAGGCAGGCAAAACACTCATACGAATAAAACAGATATTTTAATTTAAAATTTTTAAATGGCTTATCAATTTTATCTGGATAATCTCTGATTCTCTAGAATTAAGAAACCTAATACATTTTACTTTGGTTTACTGTGAAGAGTGCTAGATGCATATAAACACAGTCTCTGGCATAGAAATCCCCAGGGCTATGCCTTTTCATTGTCCTGCCTGCTCCAGAGTAGCTGGCAGAATTACCTGTCAGTAATAAATTCCCGTGATTGATACCTAAATTTGTCCAAAGACCCAAGTCCATAACTTTTCTCTATTTACTAGTGATTTTGCCATCAACATTACTAGTCTACGTGATCTGACATCTCCAGGGTTTTCTGTTGATTTGTTTGTTTTGAGACAAGATTTCTCTGTGTAGCCCTGGCTATCCTGTAACTCACCTATGTAAACCAGGCTGGTCTTGAACTCACCGAGACTCTCTTGCCAGCACCTCCTTGAGTGCTAAGATTAAAGACATGGGCCACTATACCCAGCCTCTCATTGTTTTGTGTGATTCTGAAAATGTCACCAGGTATGAAAGTGTGCACCTTTAACCCCGGCACTCAGAAAGTGGAGGTAGAGGCAGGTGGGTCTCTGTGAGTTCCAGGCCAGCCAGGTTTACATAGGTGAGTTACAGGATAGCCAGGGCTACACAGAGAAATCTTGTCTCAAAACAAACAAATCAACAGAACAACAACAATCACAAAACTGTAAGAGAAAAAAATCATGAAACTATAAGAGAACATGAAGATTTGGGGCTAGGATGTATGTAGCTCAGGGTAGGGCCCCTTTGCCTAGAACATGCAAGGCCCTGTGTGATTCCCAATATCAAAAGATGAAAGGGAGGGCAAAAATAAGGATTTTTGTTGTTGTTGTTACTGAGAAATGTACATAGTTTACAGAAAAAGCTGCTTAAATTCGAAGGCAGGTGTGCAGATACCTGGAAGAAAAGGCAGAGAGATTGTCTCTGCCAGTGCATTATCAGAGAGCTTTGGGGTTTCAGGTGTTATTTCTCCAGTTTACTGCAAGCTCCAAGGTGAGATACTGGATTTACCTGTTCACCAATTATCATTCTCGCTGTGACTTCTTCTGCAATGAGCTTAATCAAAAGCGATGACTATTATAACAGTTACTGATAACCTCAAATGAACCAACGGGTTGGGTGAGTTCTAAAAAATGCTGGCATATAGGTCAGTATGTTCCCGTCAGCTTGGTGTGCATAAATTTAATGCACACGCTCTGAGAGTTTTGATGGTGAAGGAAAAGTACTAGGCCAGAAGACTATGTCTCCTCTCCTGTCTTAAACCGTAAACAAAGCTATTAGAATGCCCGGTCTCAAACCCTGGCCGATTAACTCTCCTGTGTGGTCACTTTATTAATCTTTGCAACGGCCTCAGTGCCCACTGTGCGTGTATTTACTTCGATGCGTTTAATTGGATTGTCAGCAAAAATTTATGAAATAAACTCACCAGTAAAGTTTGGGAGTTTTATTTTGCTTTGTGGTGCTGTGGATTAAACCCATGGTCTTGTGCAAATGCTCTACCACTGAGCTACATACCCCAGGCCTCCATAAATGGAGTTGTTCGGGTGACAGGAATGCATCAGGACTTGAGAGCTGTTTTTGTGCACTTTGCTGGGTGAAGGAAGCCTGAACCTAAGGCCTTGAACATGCTAGGCAAGAGCTCTACCACCACTCAGCTACGTCTCCAGATCTATTTTTTAGTTTTAATTTTGAAATGGTCTTATTACGTGTTCCAGCTGTTCTTGAACTCACTCTGTCTCCCAGGCAGGCCTTGAACTTGTCATCCTCCTGCCTCACCCTCCCGAGTAGCTAGAATTTACAAACCTGTACCACCAGGCCTTGATCTGATAACTTTCCGGTTCAAAATACCGTCACCCTTCAGTATCTGAAGGGGATTAACTCCAGGCCCCCTTTGGAGACAGAAATCTGAGGATATTTACATCTCTTGTGTCAAAAGATCTAATCTTTGTGTATAACATATACATATAACATTCTTTAAATTCTCTCTCAATTATTTATAATACCTTTAGAATAGTAAGTGAGGGTTG